AGGGGTGCTGGCTGGGGTCTGGGAGGCTGGCAGGCCTCCCAGCCCCCCAGCAAGTCTTTACTCTATCTGGGCTCTCTGGCGTTCGTTCTGCTGCTTCTCGGCTTCTCTTTCAGCTTCTGCTTTGGCTTCTGCTGCTTCTGCTGCTTCTGCTGCTTCTGCTGCTGCTGCTGCTGCTGCTGCTGCTGGCGTCCCCATGATGCCGCCCTTAAAAGCACAGTCTTATCTCAGCTGAATCCCATCTACCTATGCCTACACCCTACTCCAGGTGCCCGCCATCAGGCATGCATTCAGGACAAGGATCCATCATCTATCCTGATGGCGGAAGGGCAGAAAAGCCTGATATTTTCTTTACCCTACAGGAGGGCTCCTCAGTTTCTTTTTTAATGGATGCAATGAAGACTTAAGTGCAATGCATTCATAGACTTAATTGTAAAAGCTAAAGCTCTGTGATCTAAATTGCTTATCAGGTAACACTGATTTTCCTTCCATTAGTAAATTTCCTAGAAAATATTATGGAAAGCCATTGCTGCTTTATTTTGCTAAAACTAGGAATGCATCTTTTCTGGTCTTAAACTTCTGAAGAGTAAGAGAAGGCCAGGCTTGGTTATTAATCAACACTAAATTCCTGTCAGAGAAAAACCTGTGTGGAAAGAGGACTGGTGTGTTGCGGGGGGGCGGGGGGGGATTAGGGATACATTAACTGGGTCTCTTTTGTAATTGAGTAACAGAATTTCCTTCTTGAAATTTAACCTAAAAGACATATTGTCTTTAGTTTAATCAAGGTAGAAAATGAGTGGCTTAAAGTGAAGAACTTATATCAGATGTTTTGTACCACGATTTTTTATTTTAATTATTTTTATTTTTATTTATTTATTTATTTATTTATTTATTTATTTATGCAAGCTTTGGGTACAGTCAGAAGCGCAGGAGGGTGAGAGGATTCACCAAAGCCAGAGCGGGGAGCAGAGCAGGCAGAAGGACCGAAGTACACTGCTGAGGGGAGCAGCAGGCGGCAGGAGAGTTCTGCGCGCCATGTGGGACCCTCCTCCGGTGGCCAGGGAGCAGCCGGGGATCGAACCGGCGCTGCAGAGGCAGCGGGCAGCTTCACAACCCAGCGCTCAACCGCTGCGCCACCAGGGGAGGCCCTGTACCACGATTTTTTTAAATTAAGCTGTAGTTATTAATGAACCTGGAGAAAATGGAATCAAATCTGTTGTTTATAAATATGTTTCTATTCATGTTCAGTAATGAATATCATAGGTGTTTTTTAGCTTTCTTAGTGTTCACATATAGGTAGTAAAGAACAGGAGTTTTTTATTTTTAAAGATTTATTTATTTATGTATACAAGAACCGGGATACAGGCCAGAGGTGTGGGGGATGAGAGGATTCACCAGAGAGACAGAGTGGGGAGCAGCAGGCAAGACAGGTCTACTGTGCCACGTGGGTAGCTCCCTGGCTGGGGATCAAACTCATGCTGCAGCGGCTGCAGTCAGCTTCATGTTATGTCTTAACCCCTTGTGCCACCTGGGAGGCCCACAGGAGTATTTTCTTCAGACGACACAAGACAAATTCCCAAAGAATGCCTAGATTAGAAGAGAGTTAATAGCTTCACCGGCCATTGGTGTTAAGAGTTGTGACTCTATTAGGGATGGTACCGTCGCTTCTGATGATTTTAAGGCTTATTTAAATGAAATCTATTTTAAATAGTTAGATAATAGCTATATCTGAACTTTCATGGGAATTCATCCTTTTCTAACAAATTTCTGTATATGGATATTGTAATGGCAGGAAGGCAGTGAGCAGGTTCTCTGGATCTGAGCAGACGGGTAAAGGAGAGTATAGGAGCCCTCAGTGGCTTTTTCAGGCTTTTAATGATCTTTCCATACCATTTATAGTGAGACAACCAGGTGCAGGGCAGACCTTCCAGTCCCTGATGAATCTTTATCTCAACTCTCTGGTGAGTTTTCTCTCTCATGGCCTCCGCTGCACTCCACCTATTCTGCCAACCTTATATGTTCAGACTCTTGGTTCAGATGTACACACTCACTGTAAAGGGCAGGAATGGACACAGTGCAAGTTTTCTAGGATCTAGCAGACTGGGTAAAGGAGGAGTCAGAGTCCTCAGTGGTTTTTTGCAGGTCTTTTATTGGGATTTACCCAGTACACAGCAGGCAGAGGTGCTGGGGGGCCGGAAGGCTGGCAGGCCTCCCAGCCCCCAGCAAGTCTTCATTCTATCTGGGCTCTCCGGCCTTCTCTCAGCTTCTGCTTCTCTTGCTTCTCTCTCAGCTTCTGTTGGCGCCCCCGTGACGCCTCCCTTAAAAGCCCAGTCTTAGCCAGGAGAATCCCATCTACTTATGCCCACACCCCATCCAGGTGCCCACCATCAGGCATGCGTTCAGGACCTCAAGGATCCATCATCTATCCTGATGGCGGGAGGGCAGAAAAGCCTGACATTTTCTTCACTCTACACTCACACACACCCATACCACACTCCAGGTGTCCACCATCAGGCATACATGCTATGTGCCCACACTCCCAAGCGCCTCCTGCATTCAAGGCTGCAGGTGATAACCACAGAGGCCAATTGCGCAAAAGCCTGAACAATGTTCATTTACCTACGTGAAGGGTAAGTGATTATCAGGCTTTTCTGCCTTCCTGCCATTAGCATTTATGATGGATCCCTGGGTCCTAGATGCATGCCTGATGGTGGACACCTGGAGTAGGGTATGGGCATGCATAGGTGGGCACACCTGGGCTGAGACCAGGCTTATAAGGGCGGCATCATGGGGAAGCCAGGAGGAATGAGAGCAAGAGAAAAAGAGAGAGTAGCAGAGTAGAAGGAGAACAAGACAAACCAATGGAATGAAAGAACACTAGAAAGCCCAAACAGCATGTAGACTCGCTTGCCAGCCTCCCAATCCCCCAGCCCCCTACCTGCTGTGTACCTGGTTGCCATATCACATGTAAAAGCTCAATAAAAGCCACCAAGGATTCCAGGACTCTGGTTTACGCATCTGCTTGGATCATAGAGATCCTGCTCTATGCCATCCTGCCCCTACACTATAGGTACACAGAGATTTTTTAGAAATCTCATATATATAGTAAAAATTTAGTAAATTAATGAACTAAATGTCAAAATTTTAAAATAGTGACTGAAATCAAGGTCCCAACTCCAGTGCTTAAGGAAAAACTTTTGCTAGTGCTTTCTAGATTGGAACTGCTAAATTTAATTATAACAGGTTAACAATTGATTACCTGTTTTGCCAGTTGTCATACATTAAAAATAGTGTAAAATTGGTAGTAATATAGTTCTGTCATCTACATGTAAGACTTGCATCATTTGCTGAAAATGTTTTTGGGTAATGATTTCACAGAATAATTTTTTTTCTAATTTTATTCATTTATTATTTTTATTTTTCATTGATTTACAGCATTGTGTATGATTTAAGGAAACAGGTTCACTCATCACCCACAGTCCTTCACCATAGACCATTTGGACTCCTCCCCACTGTGTTCTCACCTCTACTCTCTCTCCCTCTAGTAGCCTCAGTTGTGCTAAGGCTATCTATTTTTGTTATTTCAGTTATCTATTGCTATGTACCAAGCCATCCTAAAACTTGGTGGCTGAAAGCAAGAAGTAAAAGGATTTTAGTATTTTTCACAGCTCTGTACAGTTCTTTGGGCATCTTTCTTGCCACTGCAGTTAGGTGGTCTTTGGGACCGGAGTCACCTGGGAGGCTCCTTTGGGTTTTGCTTGCAGCTGGCCTTCTCTCCTCGATGTCATCAATCTCATCGTCTCTTCTCTGTACATGACCTCGTCACAATCTCTCTTGCAGGGTAGTCAGACTTCCTACTTAGTAGCTTAGGGCTCACAAACAAGCATTCCAAGATGGAGGAAGCAAAAAATACCAGACTTTTAAAGGTGAGGCCTGATGTGGCATAGTGTCATTTCCACAACATTCTATTGGTTAAATGAAAATTGCAAACCCACTCACATTTCAACCAGATAGGCAGGAAGTTGGGTTATCTGGGGACTATTTTTAGAACTGAACTAATATAGTCATATACCTTAAAATTTCTTTTTTAAAAAAAGATTTATTTATTTATACAAGCACTGGGTACAGTCAGAAGCACAGAAGGGTGAGAGAATTCACCAGAGCCAGAGCGGGGAACAGAACAGGCAGACCGACAAAATACACTGCTGAGGGGAGCAGCAGGCGTGGCAGGAGAGGTCTGCGTGCCATGTGGGGACCCTTGCCGGCGGCCGGGGATGGAACCAGCACTGCAGAGGCTGGGGGCAGCTTCGCAGCCCAGCGTTCAACCACTTTGCCACCAGGGGAGGCCCAATATACCTTAAAATTTCATTTTAGACTGTTTATATTAAGTATATGCTGGTAAGCATAAGCTTCATTACAGATGTAAGTCAGGCTACTAGGAATTTCTGTGTGAAAATTTAGTTGGCTGGCAGTACATGACAGGACTGTGCTACAGAGGTTGCTGCATAAGTACTTAAGGTCTTTGAACCTTTATCAAAACTAGAATGTGTGCGTCACATTACCCCCACGGGGACAGGAGGGTTCCCTGGGCTGAGAGTTTGGTTTGGTGGGGTCCTTTCCCATTCTGCCCACCCACTCCAGTGTCCAGTGTAGAGGAGTCTTAGACATGAAAGGGAAGGAGAATGCTTCCACTTGGGGTTATTATTTGGGTGTGGGGCGGGGCTGGGAAAATATGGGATTAACTATCTACTCTTCCTTGATGGTAATGTTATGCAGAGTTAGAGATCAAGTCTAACCTCTGGAGTTAGAGATCAAGTCTAACTTCTAGGCATGGACATTATCTCTTAATTCCTCTCATACATGCCACAGTAAGCTAGAAACAAATCTACTTTTATCCATAAAGTATCAGAAATAATTGCTTCTCCTTTAGAAAATAACTTCTTACATAATTGTATATGTAATTGTCCTGGTTTCACTGCCCTGACTTTATTGCATTGTTGCAGACTGTGTGATTAGAAGCATTCACCCACTGGGATGTGCCCAGAGAGACAGTGATGTCACTTGGGGAAGATGCACTGGAGCCTTCTTTCAGCACCAGTGTAGGAAATGAGGACATTGAGACTACCTGGCATGAGCTGCAGAACAGCTCTGCTGGTGAGTGTGACTGTCAGTCCTAACCTGAGTGATACATAGTGAATTCTTTAAACACCACACAGTCATGTCTCCGTTCTGTTTCCTACTCTACTGCTAGGATTTTTCCCTAAAACGCAAATCAGCTAATATAATTCCTTTGCTTTTTAAAAATTTTTATTTGACTGCCAGTACTGTAGGCTATAGTCCAAACTTCTTAGTAGGTCATAACAATATTTTCTTAAAGTTAATTCAAGCTCCCTCTTCCCCCATTTTTCTATCCTTTCCCCAACCATCCAGCTTGCAAGCCATGTTATACCAACCTCCTGACTGTGCTTACTTTAGCATATGCCATGTATTCTAACTAGAATTTTTTGTATCCTTTTCTGCTTGACCTCTAGTGATCCTACACAGTGTTGTCTCCTCTGTGAGAATAGGCATCATTAGGTGCTTCCTCTTGCAGTACTAGTATAACTCTGGTTTACATATGAACATCCTTTATTGTTTCACATCTATCAGTGCATCTCTCTTGCTCATTGGGTTCTTAAGTGGTAGAGGTTTTCTCAATGTCTGTCTTCATAGCCACAGTCAATAGGACAATTCTTGATGCATAAGCTATGTGTAAGTAATACTTGTTAGGAGGATGGATGGGTGATGTTAAACTCAGGATCACAAATAAGATTAATAAATCTATTGATTTTGCTCAGTAGTTAATCAGCTCCAAGCTTTGTTGCGCCAACAATCAACTAAGGAAAGTGAAGTATCACCATCAAGAGGGCAAAAAGAGTCTCCTTTAGTAAGTATAAATTTTTTGCAAACTGACAAAAACATTATTTTTCTGGCTATGTTTTAACTTTATAGTGTCATTTAGTAGTACATGTTATAGTCAAATTCTGAGTATAGCATGCTAATAGCTAAAAGGGTTCAAAGAAATTATTTTCCCTTTGATTATTTTAACTGAAGAAGAGAGTCTTCTATGGCAAAAAGAATCCTAATCTTTTGATTTATGCTTTTATTATTTTTCACTTGAAAATATATGGTTATAACTTGATGTGCGAAATAAAAAGTTACACTGTATTTCTTCTGAAGTTGCTTGTTTTCTTATTGCTATTGCTTTGGTAGAGTGTGTTATTCCTGACTGAAGCAATGGCATAAGCTAGCGACTGAGATTGATGCAAGGGAAAGAGAGGTGTGAGGGGACGTCTTAACCAGGCTAAAATGCCAAAATAATAGTTAAGGCTTTAGGTCTAGCTAGAATTTGTCACATGCTCTCTAGAAGGGTATGATACCTTGCAGGATTTTTGTAATAATTAGATGAGATTGTAATGTTTAAAATTTTTTTAGAAAATATATGAAATGAGACAAATATAATATGTTGTAGTAGCAGTAATCACCTTGCATTTTCACTGTGAGTGACAGTTGGATACCAAGGCTACATGCTGAAAACTACAGAGACATATCACTTTGTTTGCCTCACAAGCTAAAGTTTTTTTTTTTTTCTTTTAAAGATTTATTTATTCATTCATACAAGAACTGGGATATAGGGGTATGACAGTACTCCCATGTTCACACTTCATTTCCACCTGACACATACTCTCATACTTAATTTCCACCTCGGAGAAATGTACTTAATATTCCAATTCAATGTTTATTGGTGTAAGTTACTGTTTTACTAAAGCATTTCATCATTCAGTTAATTTATTACTGTTGATACCTATTTTCTAGAATGCTTTTAAGATTTATTTATTTATTTATACAAGCACTGGGTACAATCAGAAGCATGGGAGGGTGAGAGAATTCACCAGAGACAGCGGGGAGCAGAACAGACAGGCGAAGTACACTGCTGAGGGGAGCAGCAGGCGCAGCAGGAGAGGTCTGCATGCCATGTGGGACCCTCGCCCTGTGGCCGGGGATTGAACTGGCACTGCAGAGGCTGCGGGCAGCTTTGCAACCCAGCGCTCAACCACTGCGCCACTGGGGAGGCCCCTAGAATGCTTTTAAACAAACACAGTGGGTGGAGTATGTTTAAATTTGTTATTTGAAGTTGCTGTACCTGTGAAATGCTGAGACTTGCTTAGCATTCTAAAGAAAAAACTGAGCAATGATATTATGGTGCTAATTGAACCAAGCTATGCAGTAAGACCTTCATCGAGAGCATCAGTTCATTATGGAGTTATATGAAAGATTAGAACTTAGACTTTAAAATCTATTCTGTATATGTAATGATTATAAACCAAGAGTAGTAAGTAGTTCTTGAAGACTGCAGCTTTTTAAATGGACTTTGATAGCCAATTGACACACACTTACCTCAAGAATCTTTTCTTTAGCATGCTATTCTGTGTTTTAGGTAGCAATTCTTTGTTATAGTGATTTCTTGAAGAGAATTGTCCCTTGATCTCTGCATTATTTAAGGGATGTCACATTTTCAGATGATTCAAATAGGCAGTCCTTCCCAATCCAATTAAACTACACCAGTATTTGCCCATTAGCCATGTGCTTTTTATCTAAACTTACTTTCACTTTCCATCTTTATTGAATGGTATTCAGATCCCCGAATCTTAACTATTTGCGGAATACAGGATAGAGAAATAAATACTGTTAGCCACATTGTGATCTAGTATTCTTTTTCTTTGACATATATGTTAAATTTATGATGGATATAGTGTTCATCAACCCTTTGCTAAATCCAAATACTTAATTTTTTTTTTCCTGTTTTGTAGAGGTCATTGGGATACAAGGAAACCAGTTTACTTACTATACAAGATTGTCTTCCACTCATCACGGACCATTCTCAACACATTCATAAGTTAGACACAGAACTTAATTTATACAAAGTAAGTTTATCATGAAGAATTTAAACTTATCTAAATTCAAGCTTGTATTAATTATACTTTGTATGAAAAGATGCTAGTTTACTGGTCTTCATGTTTATAGTGATACACTGATGTTTGGTGTTTTTATATGATTAAAAATACTCATGTGTTACAGGTTCTTCTCAGGCTTGGGAATGCTATATTTGACCTGGCTATTTTTGATTGTTTAATTTCCCAGTAGTCTGTGTCTAATAATTTGATGGTATGGCTTGTGTTTCGAATTTTCCCTTTCTACCCCATTTACTATAGCCCATCTAATGGCAAATGCTATTGGAATATTAATACCAATCATTCCTCTACCTTTGTCAACTTATTGACGCTGTGGTACAAAATCTCTGCTTAAAGATTGTTTTTTTTTTTTTCAGGTTTTTAAAAATATTTATTTTGTTATATCATTGTTCATTTTTTAATTTTTTATACATTTTTAACATCATTGTTCATTTTTAAACAATGTTTGCTTCCCCCCACCTCAGGTGTAGTCCCCATAGAATTTCCTTTACCAGTGCACCCATGTACCATCACCACAGTCCCCTGAGCTCCTCCCTACCTCCCTCTGTTCCCTCTTCCTCCTCCTCCCCTGTAGGATGTCTCTGGTTTCTAACTGTCTGTTTGTTTTTGTTTTGTTTTATATTATTATTTCCCCTGATGTCTTATTTGGGTCCCCTATATTCCTCCTATAAGTGAAGCCGTTGGATATTTTTCTTTTTTTGTATGACTTATTTCACTGAGGATAATTCCTTTTAACTCCATCCATGTTGCTGCAAATGGCATGAGTTTATCTTTTTTGATTGCTGAATAGTATTCCATTGTATATACATATACCACATCTTCTTGATCCAGTCCTCTATTTTTGGGCATTAGGGTTGTTTCCAGGATTTACCTATTATAAATAGTGCTGAAATAAACGTAAGGGTACAGGTATTCTTTTGAATCAATGTTTTTATGTCCTTTGGGTAGATCCCTAGGAGTGGAGTTGCTGGGTCATAATGTAGCTCCATTTTTAGTAGACTGAGGAACCTCCAGACAGCTTTCCATAGTGGTGGACCAGGTGCACTCCCAACAGCACAGTAGGAAAGTTCCTTATTCACCATATCCTCGCCAACATTTGTTGTTGCTAATTTGTTTGATATGTGCCATTCTTACTGGTATAAGGTGGTATTTCATTGTGGTTTTTATTTGCTTTTCCCTGATGATAAGGGACATTCAACATATTTTCATATGCCTGTTGGCCATTTGTATTTCCTCTTTGGAGAAATGTCTTTTAAGTTCTCCTGTCCATTTCTTGACTAATTGTTTACTTTGCTTTTGTTGAGTCCTGTGAGTTCTTTGTATATCTTTGTGATAAGTCCCTTATCAGTTGTATGGTGCATAAAGATTTTTTTCCTGATCAGTGGGGTGTGTCTCTGTATTTTGGTTAATGTCTCTTTTGCTGTACAGAAGCTTTTCAGTTTGATGTGATCCCAGGTGTTTATCTTTTCTTTGACTTTCTTTGCTTTGGGTGATGAGTCTTTAAAGATGTTACTGAGATGTATATCTTGTAGTGTTTTACCTATATTTTCTTCTATATAATTTATGGTTTCAGGTCTTATGTCCAGATCTTTTATCCACTTTGAGTTGAGAGGTAATGGTCTAGTTTAATTCTTTTGCATGTGGTGGTCCAGTTTTCCCAGCACCATTTATTGAACAAACTGTCCTCGTTCCATTGCATATTCTTTGCTGCTTTGTCAAAGATTAGTTTTCTATATATGTGTAGCTTTATTTCTGGGCTTTCTATTTGGTTCCATTGGTCTGTGTGTCTGTTTTTGTTCCAATACTATACTGTTTTAGTTATTATGGCTTTGTAGTATAGTTTGAAGTTTGGAGTGTGATACCTCCCTTCTCCTTTGTTTTTATCTGTAGGGTTTTGGCTATTCGTGTATTTTTTTGTCGTTCCATATGAATGTCATTAGTATTTGTTCTGTTTCTTCGAAGAATGCCATTGAGATTTTTTATTGGAATACCGTTGAATCTATTTCTTTTAATAGTATTTCTGCTTAAAGATCCTAAGCTATTAGACTAAATTTGCTCCTTTGTCTGTATAAAGGTACTTGCCATGACTTTGAATTATAATAAATTTACTGTCTAGCTAGAAGATAGTAATATTATCTCTGAACACCACAACAGCTATATAGAGAATATGATATAGTCCTTTACTCTATGGTATAAAGTATATTATAAAAAAGAAAGTTATGATAATACTAGAGTCTTTGGGAATATTTTTTTATGGGAGAGGAAATTCTTTTTTTAAAGATTTATTTATTTATGCACACAAGAACTGGGGTACAGGACAGAGTTGTGGAGGGTGAAAAGATTTACCAGAGACAGAATGGGGAACAGAATAAGCAGATTGACTGAAATAAAGTGCTGAGGGGAACAGCGGTTTAGTCAGGAGAGATTTGCATCACCATGTGGGTAACTCCTTGGCTGGGGATCAAACACATGCTGCAGTGCCTGCAGATATCTTCATAGGTTGCGTCTTAACCCCTTGCGCCACCAGGGAGGCCTGGGAGAGGAAATTCTTAAAAAGGAATAAGATAATTTAGATCAACAGAGGAAAATGAGAGTTTTGTGAAGAGAAGAGCAAAAATGAAAGGACTATTTCAGTGTGAATATGATTTATTTGTAGAGGTTAAGAGTCATGTATTCTAAATTTCTAGAATGGAATAAAAATAATAATGTTGAACTAGTAAAATAGAAGATTACAGAGGCATTAAGATCAGTGTAAATTTGAGATATAGTAACAAGGAAGTAACATAATAATGTGTAAGAGGCTTGGAAATATTTTATTTAGTTAGTTAATAGACTTTACTTTCTAAACCTGTTTTTGGTTACAAAAAAATTGAATGAAAAGTAGGTAGAGTTCCCATATACTTACTTTAATACCTCCTCAATAGTTTCCTCTGTTATTGTCATGTTATCTTTGTTGTAATTGTTAACCCAATATTGTTACATTATTATTTACTAACTTCCAATTAACATTAGTATTCACTCATTTTGTTATATATTATAGAGGTCTTGAAAAATGTGTAATGATATGTATACACCATTACGGTAGCAAAGTATACTTTCCACTAATTCTGTATATTGTTTATTCATCCTTTCTTCCGCACTCACCAAACCACTGACAACCACGGATATTTTCACTGTCTCCATAGTTTTGATCTTCCCAGGATGTCACACAGTTGGAATTGTGCAGTATGCATCCTTTTCAGATTGACTTTGTTCATTTAATAATATGCATTTAATAGCACCTCATGTCTTTTCCATAACTTGAGAATTCATTTGTTGTTATTACTGAGTAATATTCTATTTTATGATTATAGGATAGCTTGTTTATTCATTCATCCATTGAAGGAAATCTTGTGTACTCCCAGATTTGACAATTATCAATAAAACTGCTATAAATAGTCATGTATAGATTTTTTTGTGTACATAAATTTTAACTCATTTAACTCACTGGGCAAATACCAAAAATCACAGTTGCTGGATAACATGTTAAGAATATATTTAGTTTGGGCCTCCCCAGTGGCGCAGCGGTTGAGTGCTGGGTTGCGAAGCTGCCCGCAGCCTCTGCACCGCCGGTTCGATCCCCGGCCTCTGGGTGAGGGTCTCACATGGTGCGCAGACCTCTCTTGCCGCCTGCTGCTCCCCTCAGCAGTGTACTTTGGTCCTTCTGCCTGTTCTGCTCCCAGCTCTGGCTCTGGTGAATTCTCTCACCCTCCCGTGCTTCTGACTACCCAGTGCTTGTATAAATAAATAAATCTTAAAAAAAAAAAAGAGAGAGAGATCCTTAGGAAAGCATTTAAAAAAAAAAAAGGAATATATTTAGTTTTATAAGAAATTGCCAAACTGACTTCCGAAGTGCCTCCATCTTTTTGCTTTCTCTCTAGCAATGAATGAATGTTCCTAAAGTTTCCCATCCTTGACAGCTTTTGGTGTTGTCAGTGTTTGGTTTTTTACCATATTGGAAAGGATATTTGAATTTCAGTGAAATTCAATAAAATTAAAGATTCTAAGCTGTTAGAGTAAATTTGCTCCATTGTCAGTATAAAGTTACTTGCCATGGCTTTATAATAAATTTACTATCTGGTTAGAAGATAGTAATATTACCTCTGAACACCACATTTCATTGAAATTCAAATACACTTTTTCCCTAAAAACATATAATGTTAAGCCTTTTTAAAAAAAATAAAGCTTATTTTTCATTTATACGCCTCTTTTGGTGAGCTATCTGTTTAGTTCTCTTGCTTATTGGTTAATCAGGTTCTTCATTTTCTATTGTTGAGCTTAAGGAGTACTTTGGATAAGAGGCTCTACCAATAACATGTTGGAATAGGGATGGTTTGATAAACCTCTCCCCTAAGTACAACTAAAAAAAAATTATTGTTCACAGGAAATTTTGTGACTTCATCATTGACTTTGGGGGACTGACCCACAGATATTTCACTAAAGGTTGATGACTTGTTGTAGAAGTGAGACAGAGAGAAGGAGGAAGAGTTGTGGCCAGTGCAGCATCCATTGTAGTCAGCATAAAACTAGGTACCAGGGACAGGCAGGGAATTGAATCTTTTCATAAAGGGTGAAGAGCAAATCTGTATGTATGCACTTGGGCAGTGGGTCCTTCGATTCACTTGTGAAAAATCTGATTATGAGCCACTTAGGTAGCAAGTCCCATTCTACCTCCCTTCGGGGAGATAGGACAGAGACTTCTGCTGCAACCCAGCAATGACAAAGATGTGTGCACTAGAATCTGGGCTGTGTGCAATAGTGAACAGTGCTTGCTTTGGATTAAAGAGGAGAACAACCAGTGTAAAACTGTTCACATGGTATAGCACTTCCTCCCCACAGAGACTTGTACTAAGTATAAAAACTCTAGCTCTAGCTTCCCCTCTCTCCCTCAACCACAGTGAAGAAGTTAAGAA